GCTCTTCTCATTGAGAACACCACACTATGACTTTGACTTCTCTGGGCTATTAAACACAGCTATAAAAGAGGAGGGGAAGGGGTTGTCAGAAGTGAGCAATTCAGCCTGTTCCAGGGGGAAGGTGTCCTGCGTGTATGCAAAAGCCCAGTGTATGCCCTGCACCAGTCTCGGCATCTCATTCATGTTTGTGGTTGCTTTGTATCTAATCCAGACCAGCCTCCAACTTGCTCCAGCTGAGGATAACCTTGAACTTCTGATTTTCCTGCTTCTATTCCTTCCTTCCCTGGACTGCAAGCATGCACCACTGTGCTTGGTTTATGCAATGCTGGGGGTCAAACCCAGGGCCTCGTGCATCCTAGGCTAACACTGTGGCTACAGCGCCACTTACCTGGTCCCTGACTTAATCTTCAAACTTTCCTGTTTACAGAGAGCCATGTGATTAGAAAGGGGTTAAATGCTTTCTCCAGGGTCACGTGGCTTAGATAAACTGTACCTAAATCCATATCAAATGGAAGAATGTAAGGAATAGCCAATCAAATGTTTGAAGAATAGGGAAAGAAAATGGGACTTGGTTCATGTTTAACAATGTGGACAGAAGGTAACCAAGAAAGAAAAATAGTTTAACACAGGGGTGATGCCTCAATGGTACTTGCCATGAAGCATGATGGCCTGAGTTCAAGCCCTGGGATCCATACAATGGAAGGACATAGCCAAGTAGTTCATGGTGTCTCTAAACTCCACACAGATGTTGTGGCATGCACAGGCCTAGACACACACACACACACACACACACACACACACACACACACACACACGGAAGAAAGAAAGAAAAGAAAGAAAGAAAGGAAGGAAGGAAGGAAGGAAGGAAGGAAGGTATAAACTTAAAAAAAAAGAGTTTAGGTTGTTAAAGCTCATTCCGTGATTGGTGAATATGTGTCAGTTCCACTGCATCGTGCCAAGCTGGAGTTGGGCTCTGGGAACAGAGCCCCTTCCCCTGAGAAACTCACACAAAGGCTGAAAAGGCCTCTTGTCATCAAGTTATCCAAAGAGAAACAACATCCGTGGCTGGAACAGCAGGTGCTGTAATCCTGAGCTTCGTCCTGCCAGGGTCCACACACACCCACAGCCTCCATTTCTTCTTGCCTGCACTGCCATCAGCTCACCTCCATGTCTCCCTGTCTTAGCCAGCCCTTCATCTCACAGCCTCTGCAGGTGAGTTTTCTGAATCTCAAACCCATCCCCTCCCCTTAAAAAGAGCTTCAGACCAGTCACCACCCCAGCCTCAACTCTGCCAGGCACTCAGAGCTGCAGAGGTCATAGTCTAATGCAGTGGTTCTCAGCCTCCTAATGCTGCCACCCTTTAAGACAGTTCCTCATGTTGTGGCAACCCAACCCCCCAACCCTTAAATGATTTTTGTTGCCACTTCATACCTGAAATTTTGCTACTGTTTTGAATTCTAGTGTAAATCTCTGTGTTTTCTATTGGTCTCAGTCGACCCCTGGGAAAACGTCATTCGTCCCACAGGGTAGAGACCCACAGGTTGATAAACTCTGATCTAATGGATAGTCACAAGGTCAGACGACTGTGGCTGGCAAAGCCCACTGTCTCCCTGAGCTAGCTGTAATCTGGCCTTTCCTTCCCAACTGTGCTGTGTCTGACAGGTCCTGTGCCTCTTTGCATCAATCCTGTGTGTCTTCGATGCGTTGATGGTTGTCAAGATGATGAGGAGTAACAGGAACAAGGCTCCAAGAATAGGGCCCGCCACCGCCCCATCGAGGCCCAATCTACGCTGAAGCCACTCAGCCCTCCCCAGCACTTGGCAGAGACTCGTGTCCACGTATAATCACTCCCCCGGGCCTTCACAGAGCTCCCACGCCCGCATATGTGTGACCATAAAGGCAGGGCTGCCTAGTCCGCAACACTTCTGTTTCCTCGTGTGGCCTTGTGTAAAAACCGCGCCATGCCTTGTATAAAAATCGCGTCATACTTCCATTCGCTCCAAAAGGAGATCAGGAGGGGCAGGACCCCAGGGAGAGACAGCCACAAACCTGGGACTCCTTTTCAAGGAGGGCCTCTCTAGGACAGGGGGGAGGGGGGCAGCTAAGGCTGCTGCGTGGAGTGTGGAAGTGTCCGGTCCCTGCCAAGGGGAGGGGACCCTGCTGTTCCTCGAGGTGAAACGCGCTCGCGCAGACCAAGGGCGAGCATTGGAATCCTGTGGTCTCAGCGGTCAGTTGAGCGCTGCCCTTGAACAGGTCTGGAGACACCAGGCTCTCTCTAGAGCTGGGCCTGTTCAGGGACTGCAGGCAAAGCTGGGCGGTAAGAAGCTGAGAACTGCTGCTAACCATGGCAGCACCTCCGCCCAAGCCTGGCCAGCCTGGCCAGCCTGGCCAGCCCAAGGAAGCAAAAAAAGGGTTTAAACGCTACAGGTGGGAATTCAAAGACAGCAATAAAGAGTTCTGGTTCACGGGACACGCCATAGCCAAGATCATAACTTTGGTAAATAAGATTGGAATTCCAGGGGTGTGTCTTGGGGGAGGTCCTCACAGGTACCGGAGACCCTTTGAGCAGCTCAGGTGTATGTATCTTTCCATCCAGGCCTGCGCAATCATTGCTCTGGAGCTCTTCGAAACTGTGGGTGGACACCCTCTCCTGATCCTGCTTCTTACTATGGAGGTGTCCATCATCACTTTTTTCATATTCCTTTACAGCTTTGCCATCAACAGATACATTCCCTTCATCTTCTGGCCTGTTACTGTAAGTAAAGACGCTAGGGAAGGTGGTGCCAGTCACAGTCCAGCACCTGAAAAATAGACAACCTCATTTCCTCTACTAATGCTCAGCCTCTGAAGCTGGCTTGGAGAAACATAGACAGAAAGAAAATGCTCCCAAAAACCTAACTGTGTTAGGTCAAAGGAAGAGGGACCAAGGCTTTGCCGGCCTCAGAAACAGGGAAGGTGTAACAACCAGCCATTTCTGAGAATGCTTTTGCTGGCATACATCTCATTGGGATATCATTCCAGGATTCAAAAACAGAAAACCAGACTCTGCATAAACCAGTAATTAAAATGAAGCAAATGCCAGTCACTTGCTGAGTAACCTCAACATCTATTTCTAGACCCTTATCTGTACCACAGGGCCTGGAATAGTCCCTAGGGAGACTGACCTCATGTAAACTTCTTGCCATTGTCTTAGGCCTCAGGACTTGAATTCCCTCCCATCACTTATGGAATCACTGAGTATGCCCATCTAACTCCCTCCTGGCCCATAAACACCCAACTTCCAATTCCCCTTCTCTATTACCTACCTCCCGAGCCCTATTTCTTTCCCTTTACAAACCAGAAAATGACCCCCCAAAAGTCAACTAACTTACCAACTAGGTAACAACAATTTAAAAAAAAAAAAGATTCCAACTTAATGGAATATGCTTCTGATAGCCATAATCACTCATCTACCCTGCCCTCTTATTAAAAGCTGTTACTGTTCAGGGATCCATCAGTTCTCACAAAGACCACCAGGAGAGAAGGAACGAAGAGACCTGAGGTAGGAGGTAGAGGTTCAGGAGTTGAAGGTCAGAGTGAATGTGAGGTTAGCCTTGTCTAAAAAGTGTTGAGGGGCTTAGGATGTCTCTAGAGAGAGTGTTCAGTGCTTAAGAATACTTAAGAGGACCTGAGTTCAGTTTCCAGCATCTGTATCAGGTGGTTTTCAGCCTCCTGTAACTTGACTTTCAGAGGACCCTCTTCTGACCTCCACTCACACTAGGCACATATGATACACATACATGCAAGCAAGCAAAACATTCATACATATGAAATAAAATAAAGATAAAGAGACAGAATGAATGAGCAGATAGGGCACAACTAAAGAGAGAATTAATGAATTGAGAGGTGTGGGGAAATTAACTAGAACTAGCACTGAAAAAGAAAAAGTATGAAAAAAAATGATGCAAAAATAAGAAATCAGAACTCCATACAGAGTTCCCAAGAAAGTGGAGAAGACACATTTAAAGTGATAATGATCAGATCTTGCTAGATTTAATGAAAATGCTAACCGTAAATACGACGTAATAAAAATCTCCAGAACTTTGTCCCTCCACAGCAACAATGGCTAAACTCAGGGAAAAAAAATGGCAACAAACTTTTCAGAAATCTTATAGCTTACAGCAACCAAGAGAATTGGAGGGGAAGTGTTTTGTTTCTTGAGGAAGAGATTCTCTGTGTAGTCCTGTCTGTCCTGGAACTGGATTTATAGACCATACTGGATTTAAAATCAGAGACCCACTGTTCCTGTCTCCTGAGTGCTGAGATAAAAGGTGTGTGCAAACTCTGCCTGGCCAAGAGAATGTTTAATGAAGAAAGAAACTGCTAAATTATAGTGAGAGAGCACTGGGCATTTTAACTAACCAGGAAGCTGAAGATTTCAAGTTCAGGCATGTGGTGGTGGCACACACCTGTAATTCCAGCACTCTGGAGGCAGAGGCCGTCAGATCTCTGAGTTCAAGGCCAGACTGGTCTACCAAATTAGTTCCAGGACAGTCAGAGCTTCACAGAGAAATCCTATCTCAAAAATAAATAAATAAATAAATAATAAAATAAAACAAAACAAAAAACAAAAAAAGAATTCATGTTCAAATCCATATATGAAGAAATTATTGAAGAAATGAAACATCTGTCACCACATGTGGTGACATAGGCCTCTAATTCTAGCACTTGGAAGGTTGAGGCAAGGTAAAATTAAGAGTTCAAAGTCAGCCTCAGCTACAAAGCAAGTTTGAGGTCAGCCAAGGCTAAAGCGTTACTCGTAGAGGAGTTTAGTCAAGGTGTTTTTAGGTTCTTGACCTCATATTCAAGCCCACAGACTGCAAAATAAGGAGCAATCTCATTTTTGTAGACAAGACGTTATCTTGTGACTCCCGAGGCTGAGCAGTCAAGTTTGGACTTTGTGCTCCACTCACAGAGGCCAGCAGGGAGTCACTGGTTGATCTGCTTGGCCAGGAGCATATTTGCCTTTATATTTTTATTTTAAAATACTGTGGAGAGAAAAGCAATTGGAAACAGTTTGCATGGAGGAAACTGCTTTTTCTGGGGTGGATGGGGCACGGCTATCAAAGACTAGCAAATCTCTCCCACTTTTAGGACCTCATCAATGACCTGGTCTGCTGTGCCTTCCTCATCGGTGGCATAGTCTTTGCTTTGCATGCTAGAAACACATTGCCAATGGCCTACTTAACTGCTATGGTGAGTTGTTCCTGCTGAACTGTGGATTTCCTCAAATCACTGTCACACAAATTCTAGGAGCTGGAATGTGGCTGAGTCTGTAAGAGTGCTTGTCTAGCTTGATCTCTGGTGCTGAAATAAACTGTGGTGCCTCGTGCCTATCTATAATGTTGGCACTCAGGAAGTAGAAACAGAGGATCAGAACTTTAAAGCCATCCTTGGCTCAGTAGCAAGTTCAAGGCCAGCCTGGGAATACATGAGACCCTGTCTCAAACAAACAACAAACAAACAAAACTTGGGGTATCAAAAGAAATTTTAAAAGTTGGTAAATGTTTCTAATGGTGAAGACCAACTTTTTTAAAGGTGCTTGTCTAGTAAAGTAGCCAAGTTTACCTGTGACCTTCATTCATATATTTTGAGAGAAAAAGAAAAAGAAACAAGATGAGGGCCCATTGCTTTTGAGACCAGGAAGGGCGGGTCTTTGGGTGTGAAACCAGAGAGTGCAGGCCTAGGGTATGGGATCAGGTAATTTGTGCACCTCTGATGGAAGCAATATTGGTAAGGGAATCTGCACCTTTCTTCTAGGTACAAAAATCAAATAATGAATATCCATTTGTTTTTCTAGATACTTATGGGAGTTGCTGCATTTTTTGCTATCGTCGACCTGTGTCTTCAAAGAAAACACCTTAAAGCCAAGAAGCTTCGAAAGCTTGCTCTGCTTGCCCCAGACAAAGATGGTCATATGCCAGACCCAGCCCTGCATGCAATGCTCGAAGCTCAGAGAGAAGAGGAGGAGGCAAGGCAAAAGGAACAGGAGAAGAGAGAGAGGAAACAAAAGGAGGAAGAACTGAAGGAAAAGAAGGCAATGGAGAAGAAGAAGGCAAAGAAGGAGAGGAAGAAGGAAGCGGCCAAGAAGAAGAAGTAACTGAACAGCGACACATGTGGTCAGGAAGGGCAACGAGCTTTGTGGCCAGGCCTCTCTACACACTCTCCCTGTGCCAGCTCTCTGGTATAGTTTTCCACTAATAAACATCTCTTGGCAAAGAAATTTCTCTTTAAGTGGATTTTAAACTAAAAGTTGGATAGAATTTGTCTAATGCTTTTCATTCCACAGAAACTCCCAGAAATTAGGGTGCTGAGGTCAAAGCCATACCTGGACCCAGAACCCAGCATTCTCTCATACTCATGGGATGGAGGGCACAGTCAGTTGGGGGTAATCTAAAATAATGAACAACATTATCAGTTGTGAAACTGATGAGCAGAAAGAAGAAGAAGAAGAAGAAGAAGAAGAAGAAGAAGAAGAAGAAGAA